TTGTTAAAGGGTGTTTCAAAATTTTAAAATTCAAATACTTTTAATTCACTTTATTAAAAAATAATGGTTCATCACTTTTATGAAGTGAGAATATTCGTCTTTAAAATGCATCCACATTTTTCTATCAACTTAATTTGTTTCAAAATTTTAAAATTATATTTTAACTTGTATTAAATATTTATTAAGGCAACAGATATATTAATTATGTTAATATTTCATCGTCTTTAAAATGCAACAGCATAGAGAATGAAAGAATAGAAGGTAGAATTCCTTCCTGTACCTTGTGTTTGACTCATAGCAGTAAGTTTGAAGGCAATATTTTCATGGAAGAAGCTATCCCAGCATTGATCAAAGACAAGATGCTTGGGCTCTTCCTGACCTAATTAAAACATAAAGAGATATTATACTTTGATGTCACATTCAAAAAGAAAAACATCAGTAGAGAAGAAATGGAATCAAAACTCTCCTCTAATGGAAAACACCTAAGATGAATATTTTTCCAAGTATATTTTAAAATGAGATTTAAGTGGCATTTTTTGAAGAACATATCCAACATTATAAATGATTTTCTCTGTAATATTAAAAATTATACAATCAACTCATAAATTCTTGAAATCTTAACTTAAACTACTGAATTAACAGATATTATTGAGAGCCTGTTTGAGTCTAAAAATGGACTGCAGTACTTAATACAGTTGGCCTTCCATATTCCTAGGTTCCGCATTTGTGGATTCAACCAACAGAAGATTGAAAAGATTCAAAAAGAATAATGGATGGTTTCATCTGTACTGAACATGTACAGACATTTTCTTGTCATTATCCCCTAAACAATACAAAATAACAACTATTTATATAACATTTACTTTATATGAGGTATTATAAGTAATCTAGAGATGATTTAAAATATATGGGAGCATGTGGGTAAGTGGTATGCAAATACTACACCATTTCATATAAGGTACTTGAGCATCCATGGATTTTGGTACTCGTGGGTCGTCCTGGAACCAATTCCCCACTGATACCGAAGGGCAACTGTATATGCATATGCATAAATATACAACATTTATGCAATGTTAACAATAAGTTTAAACCAATAAATACAAACATATATTGATTCTTTATAAAAAGAGATAAGCTCTTTGACATTAAATATGAATTGACAGTGCTACCTGCTCATATTTCAAAAGTAAATACACATACATTAAAGAGAATGCTGAAAAATATCTACTAATATAAGTGTGTGATAAAAAGAAAAAAATGTTTTGAGACCATGTGCGAAGATTGGTGTTTCTAAAAGTATAGTCTGACAGCTTGCATTGGAATAGCCTGTGATGCTATGGCCTTACCCCAGACCTAATGAATCAGAATAACTGAGTGTGAACCTGGGGATCTGAATTTTGATAAGATCCCAATTATCGCTTACTGAATTTTGGGTGTTACTAATCCAGAATCAGGTAAAATGAATTCCAGATATTCAGGTATCTAAATAGTATCTAAGAATAAAGTAATTGTAAGCAAGTAGAGTCTCAGATTACTCATCTGAAAAATGGTTATAATTATTCTATATCTACTTTTTCTTAGTACAAAAAGGTTAACTATTTGTTATGAGCAAAGTAAACTGAGACAAATAATTAAACTAAGGTATAAAGAGATTACAAATATATTTGATATCCCAACTTCCCTGTCCCCAAATCTCAAGTCTCCCAATACTGTTTACTTATTAATTCAAATATTTAAAAAGTTGAATGTCTGAATTTGGGAGAGATTTTGAGGTTGTGGGATTTTTTATTACACCTATTTATCTCTCTTCTTATGTATAAAGTCATGCTCACCATGATTGGCAATTTGCAATGATTACTACACATTTACCACAAATATTTATTCAACTCTGGATGTACTTTAGATAAGATTTAGAGAGTCTTCAGGGATAAGATTTTCATAAACTAATTCTTCCATGTGAAATGAAATGCATTTGGTATTTCCTCTCCATGTCCCATGAGTATGATTAACTTATCATAATTATGTTATATTGTGTGTCTTACTACTGTACTGCTGGTGAATACCATGGTCATAATTAACCCAAAGTCAACAAGAACTCATCACTGTACTTTGTTTACATTGATTAACCCTCAAAATGGAAGTTGATATCTATAAAACTAATATGTTAATTGGTATGGAAATTTTTATTCAGTGTTATTTTGTTTTACTCTTGAATAAACTATTGATGTCTGAAATAGAATTCACTTTTATTTACACATTTGAATCAGATGACTAATATTGCATCTAAATTTGAATTAAATAAAAGGATTGAATAATTTCCAGGCTATAGCTATTTTAGTAGAAAAGTAATCAAAACAGCTACTTTGCATGCATTAATTACTGCTTAATTTATTTATGCAACATTTAGGTATATAATCTATACTGAGATTTCACATATAGAATATCATACAAAATAAAAACAATGTATGTATGCATATGTGTGTATGTTTGTACATATATTTTTTTCTCCAAATGGAAGATAATTTTGGAATGTGCATACAAAGGTGTTCAGTGCAAAATAGATGCTCAATAAATAGTGACTGAATATTTAACTCCTGCCTTATCAACATGTATGCTAAAATAGAAACACTCTTTTAGGAACAAATAAAGCTATGAATTAAGGTAACCTCTGGCATTAACAAGCACACCAGTTAGCAAGTTTGAAATATGTTATATGAGCAAGGGCATCAACATCTAATGGAGATGTGTCCTTAAATTTGCAACATGTGTACATGAGGCCCTAATTTCTAATGTTTCAACTTAGGCCTTTGCTTTCCATTCATGGCTACCGTCTCTTTCTCCACCTCTATTACCAGCTGAGCAGGATGTAAACTTGAGAGATGAGGTCTCAGGTAGGGGTCACAATTACTGAAAAGAAAGAATTTTGAGAATTGAGTCCATAGACACCAGTCGGTGAGCAAGAGTACATATCCAGGCCAAACAAGGGCAAGACTGGAAGCCCAAGCACGTGCGGATCAGACAGAGCCAGTGTCTAACGGTAGATGGAAAAGGAGGAAAGAGAGACCAGAAGAGCTGAGAAAATGTGAAAGGAGTGGCAGTAGGGGCATTTCCTAGGGGCCTTTGATAGGATAGAAGGAGGTTTGTTCCCCTGCAATCCAAGAGGAGGAAGCAAAGAGAGCGGCAAGTGTCATACTTGGTCTTATCACTGGGCTTTAAAAATACCATCTGTGAGGAGATAACTTAGAGTCCTAGAGAAGACAGACATGATGAGTTCAAGACCCTGTTCCACCACTTACTGTATGGCTTTGAGGAATTCCTGAGTCTGAGGCTCCACACCTGAAAAGTGGAAATACTGACCTCCAAGAGTTGTTTTGAAGACTGGGTAAAGTCATGTTTGAAGAGCTCAAGTGTGGTACATACTGCAATGGTAACAAATGCTACTTTCCCAGGCTATTTGAAAGCTTTTCTACATCCTGCTCCTCATGGGATTCATTAATGGTTTGCTTTGGAGATATCCTTATTATTCTCAGGTGTTTAGGTCATCTTCTTTCTAGCCACCCTATCTTGTTCACCTTTGGAAACTGGCATGGATTAAGATATGTATGGACTCCTGAAACATGATCTTTTTCACACCTTGCCTTGCATAATGTTCGACTGAAAGCCCTTTCAAAAATTTGCCCTGTTCCTGTTGTATAGTTTGCATGTTTCCTTGCCTGGAGACTTCTAAGACAGAAGTGCAAGAGAAGTTGAGAGCTACAGTACAATATTACAGACTTATCATGCCCTGGGTAGGCTATTTCTGCAGCAATCAAAAGCTTGGAAATACTAAAAACTACTATCTTTTTTGGCATATATGTGCATTTATTTATTCCCTCTCCTGTTATAAAAAAAAAAACTCGTAAAGGTATCAGAAAGATATGAGATATGAGAAAAGATGAATTAGAAATAGTTTTTTTTAGAAGGTTAAAACAAGATTAGAGACATCACCTGCAGTCCGGAATGAGATATAGCATGGTTGTGTCACTTGCTCTGAATAAGCCAAAATGTTTTCCAGGCAGCCAGTGTGTGTAGGAAAAATGAAGTGTCACAATCAGTCTCCATAGGATAAAAGGCAACTAATTGCTCCAAAGTGGCAACTGTTCTTCCTTATACTAACAACTGATTTCATAAAAAGATTTCATGAAAAAAAACGTGCAATGTAATAAGAAAGCCTTTGACATCTCCACCAGCACATTATGATGAATCCCTTAGAATATTTCTATGTCATTTGATGTTTTGGGTTGATGATATCACAGCACAGGGAAATTCACTGAATGTAATTATTAGCGTGGTCAGAGGAGGATGTAGTCATTCAGGTACTGAGGTTTGGGCTCCTTCAATTTAATCCATGAGTAGATTTCAAGCACTGAAAGAAATAGATAGTATGCAAGTCTTTCCTGTAATCCTTTCCTAACTTTATTTCTTTAGTCGAGCTTTTTGGTTTTGTATATACCCACATAAACACTTAGTGAGAAATTGTTCTGCCTGCTTACGGAGAAGCCATGTGCAAAGTGACTCAGAGACCCAGCTTTGCAGACTCGAGTTTTTAATCCCGGATCCCTCACTTCATAGCTCTGTGAACGTGAGCGAGTTGCAAAACCTCTCTATTCCTCAATTTTTGTCATCTTTAAAAACAGATATAATGCCTGTTTCAGAGGGTTCCTGTCTTAATTGGGATTTCCTCAGAAGCTGTTATTTGGGAAGTCATCTAAGGAAATGTCAGTAGGGGAGTGCAGAAGTGAGACAAAGATTGGAAGGAATCCAATGAATGATGTTTTATCAATCAAGTTACTCCTGTGGACAAATGAGGCTCAAGGCAGCTGGGGAATTCTGAGAACCAGTTCAGAACACACGTCTCAAAAGTATACTACCCAGGCCAGGCGCAGTGGCTCAGGCCTGTAATCCTAGCACTCTGGGAGGCCGAGGCGGGCGGATTGTTTGAGCTCAGGAGTTCGAGACCAGCCTGAGCAAGAGTGAGACCCCCGTCTCTACTAAAAAATAGAAAGAAATGATCTGGACAACTAAAAAAATATATATAGAAAAAATTAGCCGGGCATGGTGGCACATGCCTGTAGTCCCAGCTACTCAGGAGGCTGAGGCAGAAGGATCGCTTGAGCCCAGGAGTTTGAGGTTGCTGTGAGCTAGGCTGACGCCACAGCAGTCTAGCCTGGGCAACAGAGTGAGACTCTGTCTCAAAAAAAAAGTATACTACCCAGGGACGTGGGAACTATGATATTTATCTGCCATTCCCTGTCATGCACTCTTTGAGGGAAAATTAACTCACTAGTACCTCCAGCCTGCCCTAGGTGAGCAGAGTAGGTTCTGGCAGCCAAAGGAAACACCCCAAAAAGTTACAGTTGTTGGTAGTTGGAAGATGGTCCAGACAAGTACCAATTAAATATTTGTTGTCTGGAGATAATGAAATTACATGAATGAAGTACTTAGTACAGTGTCTGCCATAAATTACATCTTAATAATTGGCAACTATTGTATATCATTTGATTCAGTCACAACTGTGTATCACCCATTCAATTACAAGTGAACCTTATGCCTTAACCAGAAGTTGTATCAAGTGCCAGGTCCACGTCCTCATGTGGAAATTGTGGAGCATAACAAGGATTTATGCCTGAGTGGAAGGCAAGCCACACCACTCAGTGAGTCCTTATGAATGGTGCCAAAATTCTCCTCAGGAAATAATTATGAGTTTGCTGTAATGCACAGGTGTGAATAGGGTGTTCAATTTCTGCTCTAAATAGCACAGCTACAATAATTTTTAGCATGGGACTATTTTAAAGTGGATATAATCAAACACTCATCTGGGGTATTAAAAATATCAGATATGTAGACAAGTGTTTAGAAACATTAATTTAGGCAACATAGTACAGTTATTTGAAAAAAAAGTAGTTTGGACACATGAAACATTAAATATGTTTGCTAAAGAAACAGATTCTATCTCAGAGATTTTTGGAAAAATTCTAGAAATACGCTGTGAGCTTTCCTGCTACCTGTGGTCATGGATTTTTCCATTGTTACTGGCTCAAATCTTCTGAGCTTTGCTTCTCAACTCTAGTCTGTCACTCCCCTTCCATCCATATTCATTGTCCACAAGTATTTCTAGAGTCAGCTTTTAAAATGCGGAGCATTAAACACAGGAAATATTTTGAAAACTCTCACTACCCGGAGGATAAAACCTAGAGTCCTCATCTCAGTATTTAAGGGTTTGCAATACAATATCCTGATATATCTCCTCTCTCTTCTCCCTCTCTCTCTCTCCTCTCTCTTTCTCACTCTTTCATAGATAGATGGAGTTAGAGATATATAAAATATATATCTATATATACAATATATAGATATATAAAATATATAGATATATTTCACTATTTCTCCAAGAGGGCAGCATTTTTAGAATTTCAAACTCATTATCAAATTTCTGAATTTCCCAATTCTCCAACGTCTTTTCTCCTGCTGATATCTTGGCTATTTCTATTTTTATCACCTCTCTCAAAATCAATGTCGTTTGATATTCAAAGGACCCTTGACATTTTATTTGCACCGTGTGTTGTCTCTAAATTTAGAAATTTTACTATTTTATTTGTGGTCCAGTCATTCGGCAGACAAGCATTGAAGGCCTGCTCTGTATTATTTGCTCTATTTGGTAACACAGACCCTAACCACAAACATCTCATAAATATTGTGGTCAGGACAAATATTAGCTACAATAAGTGTGACAAATATTTAAATAAATCTGTGCACAAGCTGCTATGATATACAGCAGAGGAAGTAATCATTCCAGGCTTGGGAAGTGGGGTGAGGGGGGGAAGAGATATGAGGACTGTAGGATCTGAAATGCTGTGAGATCCCTCATACCAGCAACTAAACACTTGGTGATATGAGTCTTGCTATCAATTTCCCTGTGGGGATTCTTCGAATTCTGTAGCACCTCCAAGAATATTTACAACATCCTTTGAAAGATAGGAAGAGATTGTGTAGTCCTATCATGAAAAAATTTTAAGACATTTACCAATATTTAAGTGAGAAGGTATTTAGTACCTTTTGTAATGAGTATATTTTGCATATATATTAAATATTTTTATTCTTCTCATCAGTCATATATCCCTGTAGACTTTCAATAGTTCAGGGCAAATTGTGAGGCTTAGTTACCAAGGAATATCAGCACAAGTAGATACATAGATAATGCCTAGAAAAAGAACCCACAAAAGGGAGAAGGAGAAGATTATGACAGAGATGGAGATCTCATCAGCAACAGAGGAGAAGAAGGATCTTTTTCGTATAGAATAAGGAGACCAAGAAAGAGAGATAAGATATCAGAGCTCCTGGGATTTTCCTTTGTCCACTATCTCCTCAGGGTGAAGGAAGAAGTGCTAGAAACTGAGAGCCTGAACATTTACCCCAGATAGTGAGTTTACTTAAGAGACTGTTTTGAATTGCAAAAACTGATAAACTTTTAATTGTCAAGCTTATTGTTTTTCCTTGTTACAATGTAGAAAGAATTTTAGACTAATTTTAGAAAATTAAGAAGCCAAAAATTATCTCACAATTTATTTTTAATGTTAAAATCTTGATCTAAATGTTTGTATATTACTTTCATATTTCTGAAGTCATTTGGTTGCACCTACCCTGAAAATCCGATTCCCTGGAAAGATCCATTGATGTGCCTTGTGCGCTCTCACACCACAAATTCTGAGCCTTACAATTGGTACAAACTTCACAAACATTTATTTTTTGGTGCCTATCTAAATTTATGGTTTCCATTTCCAATCCAAAAAAACACCTTTTATATTTGAATTTTGTCAGGTCCATTCTTCCTTCCTTCCAGAAATTATTCCAAACCACCACTCCACTTTTCAAATTCCCTACTGTTAGGTAGATAGTGAGGGATTCTGGGTCTCCTAGGGATAAAAGTGGATACTGTTGCCCCCTTCTTGGTCCTGCTCCACCCTAATTCTGCCCTGAGTTACTGCCATACCTACCAATACCCTATGAATCTGCCAATCATACCTTAGCACGCCAGCTGCAAAAGAGTGCAGAGGACTCTCTAGCCCACGGGCCAAGCGGCATAGGTACCATAGAGTCTGGAAATTGACCTAGAACAAGCCACATGCATAGTAGTGCAACTCCCAACTGTCCAATCAAAGCCATTCCATGGTGAGCTCTGAGCCACTAGGGAGGTCCCAATCTGGGCACTATAAAACAAGACACAGACCATAACCAAGCCCTTTTTGTGCACTTTCTCTGGCTCTTCCTTTGCTGCGACAATGGGTCTGATTGTGATCTGTGGTATGTGCATCATGCTTTGTAAACCTGTATGTTGCGCTTGCCCTACAATCCTATCTTTCTCTCCTCCATAAACCTCACTTTTGTGCTTGCCTAACTTTGGCGTGTCTGGTCATTCTTTGGCCATGGGCACACCAAGAACCACCATTTCACACTAAAATCTGACACTACTATATCTCCTTTCCTCAGCAGATGAAAATGTAAACATCACTGCTCTCAATTCCAAAGCCCTTCGACTACCTACCAATTTATCTACATTTCACATTTGTTTTATCTTACTTCCACCTGTCCAAAGGTAGAAATGCTCCTTCTCTTTATGGCTCTTCCTCCTACCTCTACTCTGATCCCAGTCCTCCCAGAACCCTAGCCCATCAGTGAAACCTTACCTCCATTATGGCTTTGACTCTTATTCAACCCTGGCTTCTTCAATCTGAGTATACATATAAGTATCAAGTCTCTTCCATCTTAAATTGCTGACATCTTTGAGCCTGCATTCAACTTTTACTAAACACTGTATATACTTCTCATCACAGTCAAAGTTCTTATAAGGAAATTTTACATGAGATGACATTACTTTCTTAATTTTTAAAATTATTTCATATGAAGAGCATGAAGGGATGATCAAAACAGCAAAATTCCAACAGGTAAATGATAAAATGTTCAGCTTCAACGTTATGAAAAATAGTAAATTTGCAAGGATGATAAGGAACAATTTTTCTCCAACCAGATTGATGGAGATTAAACACAATGTTACTACTGGGCGCTTGCAAGATTCAGGAAAATAGGTAATGTCTATATTATACTCCTGATGAATTGCAATGGTATAATCATTCTGGAGAGTGAGTTGGTCATTTATATAAAAAACCTTAACACATGTATAACTTTAACCCCACAATTGTACTAGTAGTAACTTTAGTAGAAGTAGTAATAATAGTTGAAAAGACAGATTAGAAATGTCCAATATTACATTGAAAAATGTGTTTCAGAAAACTCATGATGAGTTAATTTTTATTTCAGACTCACATTATTTGGTCATTTAACACAAAGTGATCAAATTCTTCAATCTAATTTAAAAGCATGCATCTTCAACATGACATAAAAAAAGGACAAGTCTGGCTGGAACCAAGATTTAATCCAAATATGTTGTCTCTTTATTTTAAAAATGTGGAAAGGAAACAAAATCATAATACCATAATTTCTATAAACTTTTGAGAAATAAGCATTGGCACATTGGAATAATATCATATTATAAATATACTAATTCATATATTTCGGTTTACAGATAGAATTGGAAGAACTTGACTTACTGTACTGATACCTAATTCTGATTCTGGCTCTGCCATTTATGAGCTGTGATTTCAGCCAAGATACTTCATCTCTCAAATCTTATGTTTTCTCATTTATAAAATGAAGCTCTTGGGCTAATGGACTCTAAATTGCCCACAAGCTCTAAAATGTTTTGATTCTATAATAAATAAGTTTAATTACTACCTATAAAATAACATGTAAAATATAAGAAAAAAACTTACTGGTTAGTAAGATGTCGATGAAAACATCTTCATTGGTGGGATTTTTGAAAGGTATAGTAATAGGTGAACGCCAACCAATGCATGTAGTTATTTTTGCCAGGTCTAGAGGCTTGGGGAATAGTCCTATTCCAGAGAGGTAGAATTTCCACTCTTGAAACTGTTTGAAGATAAACATTCATAACATATGTGTTTTAGTTGCATATATTTTATTTGTAATACTTAATGTAATACACATGAAAATTTTGGCAAATAAGAAAAGTTTTGTTACATTTAATATGCATGTTTTATTTTTTCCTTTATTTTCCAAATTCCTTTTGATTTTATTGAAAAATCATTCTATATATTTTTACACTGAAACAGAAGAGGGCAAAAGACCAATATTCAGATATCAAACATACTTCAATGCATATAAGGTTATTTAGAGCAGCACAAAAGAGAAACTTTAATGAAAAAACTTGCATTTCTGTCCAAAGTTTTCTCAAAAAATTCGATTTGTCTAACAAACTGCATTCTAAACACTGCATGTAGTTTTCAAAATTTTAGGTTGAATTTCAAATTAAATTCACATAGCTACCACATGAAGGCAAAGAAAGTAAGGCACGGAGTGAAGTCCCATTAAAAGGAAATGTGTACAATGTGTGTTATATTATTTATCCCCATCATCTAGTACAGTACGTTTTCTGTTATCACATGATATGGGTGAAAGGCTCAAAAAATATGTGAAGGAAATTGAACGTGGCTGTTCAATTTTTTCTGTGGGTTTCATAAGCCTGTAAATGTCTGTTTGAAAATGTTTTCTTTGTGTTCTTTTAGAATAAAAGTCCCTTGAGAGTCCAACAGACTTGGACTTAGTTCTAGATATCTTAACATTCTGCACCAAATACTTTCTAATGTTGTAAAAAAACAATAAATAATATCCTAGTTTATAATCTCTCAAACTACATAGATGTTTCCAAGCTTAAATTCCAATAAACAGAGGGAAACTTGCTTTAAGATTGTTTCAAAGTAGCAGAGATGGTGACAGGAAATCCATAAAATAGTGTCTTTTAGTAGTGAAGATTAAAGGCAAATTTTATGTGAATATTATCCTCAAGTGACTCTGTTATTTCTAGTCACAGGTTCTACTAGCATCATATAAGTTCACTACATTTTCAACTATGATGTCTTAACTTGATTTCACATAATTGACTGACTGAAATCAATCACCAAGGTTCAATTAAATTAATAACTGGTTTAAGTAAATTATTTACTATTTAACTATTTTATAAAATAAATCTTAGATAACAGAAATCAGGTTACGTTAAGCCATTGGGGATTATCCAAATGACAAAAAACAAGGCTGTGTTTTCATATTTCCTCAGGTGGCCTGGAATATTGGAGTTTCTATGTTAAACCACATCCCATCATTATTGAACACATATCCAACAGTTGTCCTAGCATTGATTAAATTATCCACTTGGGTTCAGAGAGGGAAATTAAAAAGTGACCCAGCGAACATGTGTTACAAAAATAAGCAACATTTTCAGCTCATATTTATCTCAAACTTTTTCTAAAAGAGAGACATTAAAACTTTTAGAGGTGCAGTTCCAATGTTTCTGAAAGATAAAACTAGTAGAAGTAAAAGATGGTAAATCTGGCTTGCACACTGAGCAGAGCTCCAGAGAATTAAAGCTTGATGAGAATCAACAGAACTTTCCATGGACACAGGCTGCAAAGTTGATGGATTCACGTTACATTATAAAACCACTCTGATTTTATATCGTCTTCTTTTTTATTGCTATGCTGACCTTTATATGAATAGAGCCACACAACCAAGTATAAATGAAATAAACAAGGCAGCTATTTGAAAATCAAAATGAAACATCTGAAAAGTGAGAAAGAAAATCTCAGAACACAAAGTTTGAGACCAAAGAGAAATTCCAATTACCATATTTGCTGCTTACTAACTGTTATTCTTATTCTGTTATGCAGTAACATAATATCATTTAGAGATTCTGATTGCATAATATGACCTCATGGTATTTGTAGTTATGAAGTCCTAACTAAGTTAATCTCAGGATTCAAAATCTGCACAAACAACTTGAGCCTAAAGTTAGATTTTTTACACTGGAGAGCTTTTCACATGGATTAAAACCAGAAACAAATTAAGTAGATAATAAACCGTAGCCATTTCCCTCAATTCATCAAGAGGTACAATCAGAAACGGTTAAAGTTTATTCCATAAACACTGCCAGTAATTTATTTTAGATTAATCAGCTACTCAGTTGTGTGTGTCAGTTCAGATAGATTTAATCAGTTAAATCAAGAGAGGGACAGAAATCTATATGGGTTTTTCCCTAATGGTAAGAAGTTATTTCAAACTCTTAGAAAAATAAACTCTAAAGCATTATTTTAAAGAAACCCTTCTTTAGATGCCTGCTCATACATACTGCATACTGTATTTTCAAAACTTCATTCAATTAATACTTTATGATGAACTAGTTTTTCTTGCAAAAGATGTCAATGGGATTAATTAAATAAAAAAGGAAGACCTGAATGATTCAAGAATAAAAAAAGGGCAAGAAAAATCACAAAGGTTAGAGCAATACATTGAAAAGGTTGAAGGGATCTGGACCTGGTAGGTGAAAGGATGAATTATTGATTGAAGTTTGCTCATAGATGAAACCTTAGAGATTTGCTATAAGTCAGAAGGAGATGGTCAGAGTGACTGAAATCCACTAACAGTGTTCAACTGATTCACAAAAGGTTTGAATTGATTATTTACTTGTTTGAGTTCTTTTGTGTTTGATAAAGAATTTATTGTTCAACTTCCGGGCTAGGATTTTTTAAAGCTATGAAGATGCAGAATTGATCATCGCCCTGCTGACTTGCAAGACTATTCTAGAATAGATACACTTTCTACCAGAAATGTAAGCAACTAAATTGTCTCCAATAATTAAGATGAAGGGGTTCTAACCCTCCTATAAAGCAATCACTTGAAAGATCTGCCTTGTTAAAATTATTTGTCTAACAGAAAATAATCTCCATTATACATTTCCTTCTATATGAGAAAGATTACTGTTTGTCTCCTTTAATGTTTTTGAAAACCAAGCATACTTCCATAGTATTTGCTTCAGGTCGTGTGTAATTCAGTTATTATAGTATTTAGAAAATTTAACAGCTTCAAAACCATTTTTTAAAAAAATAAATTCCAAAACTTTTTGGAAAAGAGAACACTTCAGTCACCCACAGGCTCTGCACTGACATGGAGACCTCTTTATTGTATTTGATTCCATTATCTCTCCATTGTCAGGGTTTGTGAGCTCCTTGATGTCTTTTGTATACAAAATGCATTCCTCCATTTACCTTCCTCCCTATCAAGATTTGAAGAAGTAAAAAAAATAATAAATGTAAAACATTATGTAAAATTTTCATTGGCAGTAAGAGAGTTACAATCACTTGGCAAACTACAGGTAACTGTGAAAAATAACCATGAAGATAAGTTAAAGCCAGATGTTTGGGGTTCAGGCCTCAGCTCAATCTTTCACCAGCTCCTGATCTTAATGCCTCTGTGTCTCAGATTCCTGATTCATAAAATAGAATTGATAACAATACTTCTTTTATAAGACTGCGGTGAGAATGAATTGAGATAATTTTTTTAATAACATGTGGCACATTTAGAAATGCTCACAATTAACTGTTGTTTTAACAAATTAATATTATTCAGGAACACTGTACAGATAAAATTGGGTAGAAAAAATTACACAATATTTGCAATATTGTAGTCTTTATCTGTTTATATTTAAGTTTATGGAAAGTTGAGTAGTAAAACTCAAGTCAGAAAATTAACATAAATGCCAATGATTTGACATTTACATGAAAATACCTTATGTTTTAAATCTGAGCATCTATTATGCTTCATTTAAGTAATCTATGGATTTAAAAATACTTTATATGTCTGCACATACATAATATTTATTGTATTTTCAAAAGTTCATTTAATTAATGATTTACAATAAACTTGTTTACTTGCAAAAGATGTTAACTGGATGAATTAGATTTATTTATACGCTGCTTCTAAAATTTAATTAACTTGATTTGGTCCAAGAATACTCTATCATACCTGAGTACAGGAAAAGTCGATACAAGCTTGATGACCAGCTCTTCCAAGCATAGAAGGATAAAAGTGAACAGATAACTCTGTGGTGGAGTGAGGAGTTAAAATCAGCTATGTAAATTCAGGAAAAAGCAAAAGAGAAACAAAAATTAACACTTGGGTTTGAGTTGGCATCTTCGTGTGCTAGGTATATGCAGGATTGATGTTTGTGTGATTAATGTGTTGCCTAGCACATCTTATCTGTTCTCAGTATGCCTGCTCCCCAAATATTGGTAAAAGGGTCTGTGGTAAACAGTGTTTAGTGGTGCTCACACCATGTTCTTACCCCAGACAATCATCATATGTAGGTACTTGTGTAAAAGGCAGTCAGGATTAATTTAGAACTCCCAATAAAAGAAATACACATTTTATTTAAGAGCCCATAGCATATTGTCCATCCCATGGTACATATGAAACCACCAGGAACCTAACTTGTAGCCTTGGCAGTGTCAAAAGAAATGAACTGTTTCTAGGCATACATTTAAGACATGCATCTTTAACGTGCAATGTGGTTTTCCTCTTCATCCTATCATATACACATGCAAGGTGTGACCTGCTGAATAACTTGAGTCTGTACAGTATTAGTTTGAGTTACCTTTTTAGAAACTGTGAAAGAAGTCAGCAACTCCATCACAATATAACGAGGGCTTGAGTATATTAGATAATCAAAATGCTGCACTGGGAATAATATCTAATATTAACACTTATAGAATGATAGAATGAGTGACATGTGTCTGAAAAGGAAGTTTATTATGTTTCACTAATATGTTTTTCCAGATAATCTTTGAAAAAGCAAAACTGCAATGTAGCAATATCATTCAATCCTCCTAGAATATATTATAGCAGTTGATGCCCAATAAACTCTGATAATGACTATGAAATGCAAATGCAAACTTGATTTTATATTTAGAAAAGAATCACTTATTTATTTAAATTCCTGGTTTATCTACAGCAAGTATTTTTATCTCAGGCTGTATCTCTCTCTGATAACTCAAATGCACCTCATATATTATTTCAACTAAGCAAGTATGAAAAATAATAGTTTATTCTCTCTATAGATATAAAAATCTCCTCTATTTTTCATTTGTTATCAATACCATTAATGTGTGCTCTTATTTGTTTTATAATATAGTATTTTCCTTATATATAACTTTCTGAGTTATTTCCTAATATTAGAGTTAATTGTACATTCAGTGCTCAATAAAGGTTTATAAATGAATAAAGAAATGAGTAGACTAGAAAGCCTTGATTGAAAATGTTAAAGCAGAGTCCATATTCTTAATTATGTAATATAAGGTGGCATCTGCAATATATTCCATTTATTTTCCCTCAGATCACAGATTAGACTCTTCTCTAAATGTAAAGATAAAAAAGTATATGAAAACACCACTTTTTAATGAGGAATTTCAGCAATATGTAAACTATAGCCTGAACATCATGCTTTGTATAATTTATGAAAAATATAGTGTTAATGATACAAGCATGTATGTACAATTTAATATAATCTTTGTAAGATTAAAACATACACACCGGTTTTAGCAATATAATAATTAGTGATTTCTAATTTGACACATTATGGCAGTTAAGAACTAATTTTATATCATGATATTAGTTGGCAACCAGTGATTGACAAAAGACAGGTGTTAAGATATAAATAAAAAAATCAAAGTGTAGATTTTTAAAATAATCATTAAATGGAAACTAATAAAAAGCTTTTATTTAAATACCATACCTACTAGCAGCACTCATGATTTGCTGTGAAGTTCCATAGTGAAAATAATCTATTATAATTATCATTTTAAAAATAATCTTTTATAATTATCATTTTGAAGTTTACCTGAAAGTATGTGGTTTGGCATTCACTATAAATGAAACCGCCCTTACAAATCAATAAAGGGGTGCAAGGCCAGAACTGTGGTAAGGGCCCAAAACTCTGTGAAGGCACAGGCCTGGCTAAAAATAATAAATCAGTCACTGTTCCCTCATTTGCTTGATAATAGTCACTGTCCCCCTGTTAGCTTCTCTATAATTACTACTGATAAGTCACATACCTGATGGTCATAAAGATCCTTAACTTTCTCTGTAGATAACATCACCTTTTCAAAACCTAGGGGTAGTTTCTGAGATATCTTCCAGGTCATGCATTCCGGTGGAATGGCTGACCCACCCAGACCAGTGGCCCATACCTAGGAACTGACTCAACTGGTCTTGTGACTCCCACCCAAGAACCTGGTCAGCAAAGAAGACAATTTCTATACCCCTATGTTTCCGCTTCGAACCCAGCCAATTAGCAGACCCAATTGCCTAGCCTTTTGCCCACAAAACTGTCTTTAAAAACCCTTTCTCCCAAATTTTTGGGGAGGCAGATTTGAGAAATTTCTCCCATCTCCCTGCTTAGCACCATGTGGAATTAAACCCTTTCTCTGCTGTAACACTTGCTGTCTTAGTGTATTGGCTTCCTCTGGGCAGCGGGCAATGAACTTGGTTGAGGGGTAACATAAATAATTGGTGTTCTATGCTTTGGAAACAGATAGTCATGCCAGACCTTAGGATCTTGTTTTGCAACTTGGAGGAAGGAGAAAAGTGGCCTAGGACCAGGCCTACTGACTGGTCCTAGCATCTGCCAGGACCTAAAAATGAGAGAATGGGGTAGAGAAAGGAGCAAAGAGGGGCAGAGCTGCCAGCATTACCTAGAAGAGTATATTTGTGTGTGTGTTGGTGGGGGAGGGTGGCAGTGGGGGTTGGAAGTGGGCAAGAACTCAGGGAGGGATAGAAAAGAACTGGTCTCTTGGGATCCTGGAAACATATAATTACTGTTGAGTTAAAAATCACATTACTGAAAACTATTACGAAAACTGATTACTAAAATGGTCAAAAATAAAAACAGTTTATTTAGATAGAACTGACGAAAATGAGCATGACACTAGCATATATAATTTCAAAAATTTATATTAACATGACATTGTTTTATTGATAAATTAAAATTCAGGGGGAATTGTATATGAGAAAATTATATTTTTAAAATTCAGGAATTTGAATCCTTATTAATAGTTTAAATGATAATACTCCACTAGTGTCCCAAAATCAGAATTGGAAAATGCTCTAGTAGCAGTAGATTTCATGGCTTTCTGAATGTACTTACTTGTGATGTTTCATTAATATCCAGGACAAAATTTTCTGGATTACTGTTTGTTGCTTGCAATTCTAAGGTTTCATGTGTAGGATTAGTTAAGGGAACCATCTGAGTGGCAAACCTGAGAGAAAAAAAAAACAAAGCTAGTGAAGTCGCTGGTATTCATAAACTTGTTCAATGATAATTCCATAGACTTGATGACCATTATGATTGAAATATGTCACCCCAAAAGATATGCTGAAGTCCTAACTCTCAGTAGCTCAGAATGTGATGTTATCTGGAAAAAGGGTGGCTGTGCATGTAATTAGTTAAGATGAGGTCTTACTGGAGTAAGATGAGACCTTAATCCAATATGACCGGTGTCCTTATAAGAAGACCATGTGAAGACATACAAGAAGTTAACATTGGAGTCATATGACAAAGGAAGTAGAGACTGGAGTGATGTAGCTACAAGTCAAGTAAAACCAAGGATTGCTGGTGAGCACCAGAAGCTCAAAGAGGCAGGGAGGAATTCTCCCTTACAGGTTTCAAAAGGACCATATTCCTGCTGGCACCTTGATTTTGGACATCTAGCCTCCAGAACTGAGATAATAACTTTATTTTGTCTTAAGCCACCCAGTTTACGGTGCTCACTATGGCAGCCATAGGAAACTAATATAATGACTTTTGTGAGTTTAATAATAAGAATAATCATGTATGAATTAATGACATTTTGCTAAATTAAATAATTCTTCATTTTCTATTTTATTTTTGAGACAAAATATTATTCCATATTGAATACTGGAATATATTTAAGTTTTAAGAGAAATGTTTACTCATTGTTTTATAACAACTAAATCCAGCCAAAAAAGCTCACGTAGTCTAGAAATAATAACAGAATCATAAATTCACAAAGTTTTCATCCATAACATTAACAAGATCCAAACTGATGATGATTAATGCCAAAAAAATATGGCTGGGTATTTATGCTTGAAGCAAAAAGTAATCAAGAGGGTTCATAACTCTCAATCAACCATCATTTCTAATGGTTTTTAATGTTACAACATACAAATTGTGATCTTGCATTATCTTTCTGTAATGTTGAAGTATAACATTATAATACAATAATTTTATCTATGTACAGTTTTTCTTATCATTCTCTTTACTGTCTCTAGCTTACAATCTAAAATAATTAAGATTAAAATATTTAGGTATCAAATCTGTAATAAAAAATGAAATCATCGGTACATATGTATTATTAATTTTCACAATGTCATGGCCCTATGACAGAGGAAAATTAGCAGTATATGCTGAGAAGAATTCAGTTTATTAACTGAAGTAGTATAATTCAAATAAAGAACCATTTTTTTAGTATTATACAAACATATATGTATATATAGTGATTCACCTTAGAGTAAAGAGAATATTATTATGTATATCAGTTTTATGATTCTATATTACAGATGAAACAACAAAGTGTAAATCATGAATTTGTTCTTTTACCAAGGACACATGAAAAAAGAAATCAATGGAAATAACCAAAATCTCATTAATTGTAATGAATAAAATACATTAAAAATCACAACAGACTTCCCATCATTTTTTGGTAATCATCTGCTTTGTATATTATGCAGAAAGCCAATTTCCCAAGTTTTCTCATAGGCAACACCATAGAAAAATATGAATAAAATATTTTCATACTAGATTTCTATGGTATTGTTAATAAAAAATATTTAAATAACATTGAAAACAAATTTGATGCAAAACTCTATGGGTTTTAGCTACATTTAATGATTTATGTTTCAATTCAGAATCCCAAGATTTCAACTTTTTTCTTGACTAAATCACTTTCAAACACAGCTTGTGATTAATTAAAATTGAAAAGCATTTATATCTGACACATTTGCAATTGTTTAAATAATCAAGTTGCAGGTACATGTCTTAAATTTGGTTATGAATAAATAATGCACAAATATATTAATATGTAGATGATCCGTTTTTCTTTTTATATTTACTGGATTGACATGTGGCTCATACAATTACTAAAAAAATTAAAAGGGAGAAAAGGGAAGTTGATCATGATTTACTAAACTTAATTTATCATCTCTCTAAAATTTTATGTACATCTATGAAATTGAGTTCAAATAGAATCAGCATTCAAATCTCAGGATGAGGCGGGTTAATTATTTTACATGGTGAAGAGCTAGCTCCATTTATACGTGTTTTCAGCAAGTATGTTTTTTGGATATCTGTGATTTGGCATATTGCTTTTTAAATAGTCTCTGTCTGTCTCTCACTTCCCAATGTTGATTAAGCAATGAAACTCATTTGCCATATAGAAGTAAAATCAAAATAGTTTTCAAATGGCAAGAAAACAAAAATTGAGAAAATGAGATATTTTCTTAGCTCTTATGAAGCTAATTTTTGACAGGCTCTTGGGTATTCAAACACTAAGGAATCAAAACACAGGATTTTCAAGCCAACTGTGTTTTAGGCAATATATGAGGGCTGTCCAGAAAGTATCCAGCCATTGTTAATATTAATGTAATGAGAACAGCGCGACGTTGATGTAACCTGGCAGCCAAGGAGAGTGGACTGGAATGCGCATGCGTGAACAGTGATGACTTCACTGTACTAGTCAGTGGGGTGGCTTGATGCCCTTGAGTGACCATGTGTACTGTGTGGCTGTCGCATTCAAAAAGACTGAGGGAAAAGAGCAACGAATCTGCATTAAATTTTGGGTTAAACCTGAACATTCCTCCATGGAAACTATTCGGATGATTCAGAAGGTTTTCAGTGACGATGGAATGAGTGCAGTGGAAATAAAAGTGTGGCACAAATGCTTCAAAGATGATCGAGAATCTGGTGAAAGCGATCCACATTCTCGAAGGCCTGCAACAAGCAGAACATCTGAGAATGTTGAACGCGTTCAGGTCAGGTTAAGAGACGCTGGGAGAACTGTGTGAAGTCCTAAGGTGCCTACTTTGAAGGGGACTGAGGCGTCTTTGTCCTATGTACAATGTTTCTTGTATCATCTTCAATAAATGTCTTTATTTCTCATATTACATGGCTGGATACTTTCTGGACAGATCTCCTGTATTATCTTATGTATTCTTACTGGTAGTACTTTTACTTTCATCTCCATTCACCACCAGGTTTCTTGGTACTTGATCTTCCATAGAAATTGAAAAAAATATATAATAATTAAAAGAATAATTAGCAACCGTCTTTGCTTATTTTCAAATATAATTTACAGAAAATACTTAAAGTTTTCCCAAAATGGATCCACATCCAGTTATAATGAAAGAATCATAGTTGCTCTTATTAATCAGAGGAAGAACTAAGATCCATTCCCATGTAACTCATTTCATTAATATACAAAGTTATTTTAATGTGTGGGGAAACCTATGATTTCCAATCAGTACTGACTGAGGCTCCTTATATAGCAAGTTTACTTCCCTTGAGGCGGAAAAGATAAGTAAGACATGCTATCTGATTTACTAGTGGTGGCTGGAATGAGATTGGGCAACAAGTTAGGGGGCAGAATAGGAAGGGCCTCACATACTATGCTGAGACACTTTTATTTCTTTTTGAAGGCAATAAAGTAGCCTTGAGTTTTTGTTTGCTTGTTTTTCAGATATATCTATGCTAGAAAATTCTTCCTAGCAGCTGGTTGGAAAATGAACTGCAGTGAGAAGGGAGTGGAGGCACAGAGACTGGTTATAATTAGTGTGATATGATAATCCAGGCAAGAGATAAGAAGGGCCTGAGCTAAGGGAGTGGCAATAGGAAGAGAGGAGGCAAGAGCTTCCAGAGGTATTGAGAGAGGAGGAGAGATGGAAATTGGTGAAAGTCTGTGTTTGGAAGGGCAAGAGACAAGGGGAAGGAGGTCCTATATATGGACCCATAGGGCATGTGAATTGGTGAGTTGTCATATTAATTCAGTAAATAGCAGTCAGGATAAAATTTTATTAGGTTATGAAGTATGGATTGTCCAATTTCCTTGAGTACTAAGTTTGACAGTTGATATCTCTGACATTTGACTTTGACATTTCTTGCTTTTTTTTTTTTATTGTGAAAGTACATCCTCATTCTTTCAAATGCACATTTTGGCTTGTGATTATATTCCAAAAAAAAATTTTTAGAGCAATTTTTGTGATAAGTCAAAAATTCTTGTTATTTTTGAATATGAGCTCCTTCGTGGAACCAGTGCAGCTCAGACAGCTTGAAATATCAACAAAGTGTTTGGGAAGGATGTGGCTAATGAATGCAAAGTACATTGATAGTTGGAGAAGTTCTGTTTTGGTGATTTTCATCTTGAAAATGAGCCATGTGGGTGACCTGAAACCAGGATGGATAATGATGAGCTGAAAGTTATAGTGGAAGCGAATCCATCTCAACCTACATGTGAATTAGCAGCAACGTTTGACATTACTATTCCAACAATATTGGACCATTTGAAACAAATTGGCAAGATAAAGAAGCTGGATAGATGGGTACTGCATGAATTAAATGAGTGTCAGAAGAGAAATTGTCTCGAAGCTTGCCTTTCTTTGCTGTCACAACATAAAGGTGAACTATTTCTACACCATATTGTTTTGTGGGATGAAAAATGGATTCTTTTTGACAATTGCAAGCATTCGCACAATGGTTGGATAAAGATGAAGTGCCAAAACACAGTCCAAAACCGAATAGTCACCAAAAAAAGCCAATGGTGTCTGTTTGGTGGTCCAGTGCTGGTATTATGCACTACAGATTCATGAAACCTGTTCATTAGATGACAGTGGATGTCTGCTGCAACAAGTTGGATGAAATGATGAGGATGCTTGCAATTAAGCAGTTGAGATTGGTCAATAGACATAGGCCAATCCTCTTGCAACACCACATGTTGCAAAACACAACACTACTCAAGCTATAGAAGCTGGACTTGGAAACTCTCTGTCGTCCACCATGTTCACCAGACCTTACACCAACTGACTACCACTTCTCCCAGGCTTTGGACCACTTCTTGCAAGGAAAAATATTCAATTCTCAACAAGCTGTGGAAAATGCCTTTCACAATTTTATTGCCACTCACTCCCAGGCTTCTTCGCTGCTAGCATAAGCAAGCTACTTTTAAGATGGTAAAACTGTGTCCATAGT